TTGACATCTGCACGCCACCCTTCCCGTCAGGGACCAAAACAGGGACAAAGAATGAAAACAGAAGCCTGCGGGGACAAAGACATCCTGCTTCAGGCCCAGCCACGTCACTAACAATGTATACATTCACTGAGAGGGGTGGGATGGCTGGGGGGAGGGAGGAAGGGGTGGGGTTTGTAGGGGTAAGGTTACTACACTGTGGTTGTTTACCAGTGGAAACTAGATATCGTGAAAGATGATGTAAACGTTTTATTCTCAAGGTAATAATGAGAATAATTTCATTCCCATGATTCAAAATGATCCTGTCGTCTTTTGCTATAAATCTTATAGCTAGGTTTGGCTAATGATACTGAACCAAAGATTTTATCAGTAAACCTTTAAGTCTTGTTAAATGTTTTGAGCAAGTTCATAGCTGTATGTCTTATAATTGCTTTTTTTTTTTAGCTAATAGAGGATGACTTTGGGTGAGAGGTACAGGCAAGAATATTTAAAGCAATTTTAAAAAGAACAAGCTAATAGGTAACACACAGTAACCTAAATGTTTAATGTTACATTGGATAAGTTCTGACAAGCCACAAATTTAGCATTTAGCTGTGGATATGGACCAGGAAAAACTATTTAGAAGATTTTGGAATAAGATATCTGGAAAACAGTTCCTACGACTTGCATGTTTATTGGCCGATAGCCTTTTTAGCTCTTGTAACCATAATTTGTCGTTACATAATGCCCTGAGGCTACATCAATGTAAAGAAAAAAATGTCTCTTTAGTCAGAGGCATCTGTTAAAAACTGTTTTGAAAATGTTGATTGACTTGAATTTCAACAGGTAAAGTAGCATCTAATGGCATCTGTAAATGGCCAAAATATTATATAAGCAGTTTGTTTCACAGCTGGTAAAACACTGGTTTTTCTTTAACTGTTGACAAAGCCTGAGCTAAAGTGGAAAAGTTAAAGCTTGTGATTTGATCTGTGTCTACTTCCTCATATCACGTCTTCTTTCGCAACATAAAAATAACCCAATCTCATTACCCAACCTCGTCTTCCCGTGTCCTGCACTATGTCCTTTCTTCTCCTTCTACTTCACTTCTCCTCTTTCAAAACTCCCTGATTGGGACCCCCTCCAACATCTAACATCGAAGCCCACGTCTATCTTTATCCCTCCTGCTCCAGACTGTCAGTGTCACCAGTCACCTCACACTCACTTGGTTTGAGTGCTGCAGGAATTCATTCCTGAGTCAGGCGTCGGGCCTTATTGGGGGTTCACTGTGAGGGCCTCAGTGGCAATCATGTGATTGAGTGAGAGAGAGAGAGTGAAAGAGAGAGAGAGAGACCTGGAGTTTTCAAAACATTTGACATTTGTACTTGAAAAATAAACATATTTAGCTTGCTTGCCAACAGCAAAATATTTTACCTGTGCCACAGCATACTTTTAAATTAATTTACTTTAAAGTAAAAAAAATCTTTTTTTCTGTTGAGGTATGCAGTCACTAACTGTTTTAACCCTGGAACATTAATATTTCACTAATGTTTGCTAAATAAAAGAAATAGCAACAAATTATCAATTTCAAATGTCTTTGCAATACAATCTTGATGTTGTTAACAGCTAAGCCTCATGGGAAATCCCAGTTCAGTTCTCAGTTTTCAACACAATAGACTGACTAATTTTTGCATTTAATGCCTCTTATGCTGTCAACTGGTAACCATATGTAGCCCACACAGAGTGCAGTGTTTAACTCCATGCCCACATGGACGTGTTGGCTGAGACGATTATTCCTTTAATGGAGGTCATGGAGACACCACCACCTCCATAAGAGGAACATTTTCTTTTTACAGTTTCAGCAAAAGTGAATATAATCAGTCTGACAGTGTTAGTGTTTCCACCGAGTGCGGGGGAAAATGTTAAGACGATAATCTGTGTTTTTCTCAAAACTGCCGTTGGCTACAAAACACTAATTATCCATAACTCCAAAACCAAAACAATGATCTGAAAGACAAGTCAGAAACTTCCCGTAC